TCTAAGATGGAGTCATGATCAAAGCTATGATACCACATATTAAGAGATTCACAAAACATTGTAGGGAATCTTTGGCTAGCCTTTGCTGGCTTTGGATTACTTTTTTTGCTAGAGTGTGCTTAGTGGTTGTGTTATAAGATCTCTAGCCCCTTTTAACTTTGTTTTTGTAGGTGCATTTATGCATTAAGCCTTGGGATTTTGTCATGCAAAAGATATTTTTGGCTAGCCATGATAACTCTTAATTAATGTGTCATGTCATTATTGTTGTGTCATGAATGTTATCGATGAAAATTTTTTATGACAAAACATGAATAACTATTTTTTTTTTTTTGCTTTTATAAAGGAAAAAGCATATAAAAAGGCATAGAATCTGTGTGCATAAAGTATGTGAGAAGTGTGTATGTAGGGGTGGAGCTACGATTATTTGATTAGGAGGCCAAAATTAATATAACAAGATATAATTTTTTTCTAATTTACTGTACATAAATTGTAAATAAAAAATTAAACGATTTAGTTTTATTCAAAGAACTTGCTACATACATATGATAATTTTTGTATAAGGTAAAAGGTCTCAAGCAATACCAAATTGAGTCAAGGCTATAAAGTTAATTTCATCTTCATAATATATGCATCACTTTAGTTTTATTGGTCCATATACCTATCAAATATAAATATACAAAATATATAAGAAAAATTAGCTAAATCAATGCATTATTTTTGTTTTATAAAACATTAAAATAAAATAAAAAAATAATAAAGAATAATTTTTACATATTTATTTTAATTGTGTTTGTCATTCTTTCATAGGATAGAAATCATCAATTATCATATCAATTATGAATCTTTTAGCAATTTATTTTTTTATATAGAAAATTAAATAATTTGTAAGAAATCATCTTTCATTCGATTGCAAAGTCTTGTTTTAACAATCTTCATCGCTGAAAAAACTCGCTCAGTAATTGTTGTCAAAATAGAAAGAGTCAAAACAAGCTGGATCAACCTGTCAATGAGTGGATAAATTATTGATTTTTCTCTTTCAACCAATCCTTGACATAAATCAACAATCAATGATATATTCTTTAACTTTGGATGGTTGGGCATATCAAACTTATAATGTTGCAACTAAAATCTCAAATGAGTTTTTTCTTTGTTAGAAAAGTCTTCAGGATATAACTTGTTAACAAGTAATCATATATCTTCAATACTAAATAACTTATAGTTATCTTTAGGATCTAAAATTGTGTTCAACTTAAGAAGCTTGATTGATCTAAAGTTGTGCTTAACTTAAGAAGCTTGATCGCCTGTTTATTGAACCTATTATTTAGCTCTTGTAATTGTTGATTAATAATAGCTGTAAATATATCAACTTTGTAGTGATGTTCAACTGTTACTGGTTTTTATTTACAACAAGATCATCCCACACTAGAAGAACAAACATCTATATCAAAAACTTCAATGTCTTGATACTTACAAAATGATATCACTTCTTCTAAAAGAGTTTCATAACCATCATCTTTTAACTTTTGAATTAAAGTATTTGTGGTAGTCACCAAATGCATAGTATATAAAATGTTTTTAGATTTCTGTTGCAAAGCTTAACAAAGCACATCAGTCTTAATATATCATTAGTAATTCACATTAGCTACTTAAATGAAAAGACTGCATCATCATGTTGAGAATAAGTAGATCCATCTAAAGCAATGTTTTCAAAAACCAAGCAGGTTGCACCATATATTTTTAGCAAACTGCAAATTGATTTGAAGTGTGAACTCCATCTACTATCTCCAAGTCATTACAAACCACCTACTTGATTGACTCCTTTACCTGTTTCAATCTCACCAATATCAAAATGCTCAATTAGAGCTGCTTGAAAAGCCCACAATTTATTATTATGCTTGCAAGAAACACTAACAATGTTAATAACAAAAATCAAATTCTAAAAGAAAGTGTGAATATCAAATATTTTTATAGCTGCAACAATAAGAGTTTATTGTAATTGATGAGCTAAGCAGTGTACATAATATGCATAAGGGCAATCATTAATGAACAAAGCTTGCAATCCATTTCACTCTTCATGCATATTACTAGCATCATCATACACTTGGCCTTAATATTTTAAACATCAAAATTGTGATGAGATAAAATAAAATAAAAATCTCTTTCTTAAGAGTTGAAGCAATTATATCTTTGACATGAACTATATCTAAAAATCATTCTCGTATAAATCCACTTTTATCAACAAACCTAATGACAAGGGCAATTTGCTCTCTTCTAAATTCATATCGAGCTTCATCAATAATTAAACAAAATCTTGCATCACCAATCTCATGACGAATTGAAGATTGAACATTTCTGGCAATGATATGTAAAATTTCTTTTTAAATTTGATGTGAGGTGTATTTAGCATTTTGTGGAGCATTACCTAAAACAAGAGTACCTATTTATTCATTATGTGATGCTAAAAGTTTCATTATTTCAAGAAAAGTATCTCAGTTTTTTCATTCTAGACGTTCATCATAACCTCTAAAAGCACATGCTTGAAATGTTTGGTAGCAAATCTATGAGTTGAATTGAGACCTTTTCCCATATGAGTCATAAAAGCACACTGTTCCCTATCATTAACTTTCTTCAAATAATTAAATCCTTTAATAGTAAATATGTCTAATCCTGACTTTCCAAATAATTTACTTGGAAATAAATAGCAAAGAAAACAAAATGTAGTATTTTTCTCTGAATATTCAAACCATGAATAACTTTTGAACCGATGAAACTGAAATCGATGAGGATGTTTTTTTACAAGTCAATGAATATCCAGACATCAAAGGTTGATATGACCCTAAATTAATATATACCTTTCGAATATCATCTTGCCGATTAGCAAGGTATTTTTAATTTTGAGGATGATTGCTTGAATCTCTAATTAAATAAGCAATGTTGATTCTAATAAGAGGTAGCTCATTAATTAACGCAGGTTATTTGTAATCTGAAGCACATTGAGACTGCTTAACTATAACTTCAACATTATATATTGGAGTTGGTTCACTGGGCTGTGAGTTATCAATATTTTTTTTTTCAAAAAAAATCAATTATTCTTATTTTGTTAATGATTCGACCTAAAATCAAAACATATATCATGAAAAAAATTAATAATTTTGGTAGATCTGTTAAAAACAAAATATAAAAAAATCCTAGCATAATCAAAATAAACTAATAAAATATATCTAATTAATTAGAAAAAAAAATTACTATAACAAGAATTTAAAAAACAATTGTTAGAACTAGCAGATCTTAAAAAAAAAGAGCAAAACTAGTAAAATTATAAAACAACCTCATTAAATTATTAAAAAAATTTTATAACAAAATAAAAATAAATTTTAAATTTGAGTTATCGATAATTAATTACATTGTTTGATTTAATAAAAAATGAATTAATCGATACTTTACTTAATCTTTATGCAGAAAAAATCTGCTTGTGATATATATATATATATATATATATATATATATATATTTCCTGAAGGTACCGTAAAATCAAGAGCAAAGTCAAAGGAATGCAAGGGTAAAGTAAAGGATAGCAGATATTTTTACTGTTAGAAGGGCTCCTCGCATAACCCGAGAGAAAAACACAAGATAAGATCACAGCTCATGTCTAGACTGCCAAGCAAGTAAATAGAGAGAGTTAGGACGGCAGCATGTTGTGATTTTTAATGCTGTATGTTAGCTGTTATTAATTAACTAGTTAATGTTAATTAAGTTCTTTATGGTAGAATACTATTAGTTTTTACCACTTTGTAAATTATTAGATTCTTTGCGTTATCCATTCGTAGGAGAGGGTGTATTTGTCAATGACGAGCCATCCATATCAAAGTCCATCCATCCTAAATAATAAGAATGCCTAATCCAGTAATACGTGGACAGCTGGATTCCTCTTTCTCTCGCGTGTCATCTTGTCCAAACCCTGGCCTCTCACCCTGAGATTGCACAATAAAATAACTTTTTAATTACATTTCTCTATGTTTATGTTCTATAAAATCTTTTATGTTTTTCTACAATTTAATTATAGAAGATGATTTAATAATATAAAAAAAATTACCAATAATAACACAACTGGATCATACTTACCTTTTAATAATAAAGAATGACTCACTTATCTTTAAAAATAAATGTGATACTAAAAATTTATTAATTTAATATTTTCAAGTTAAAAACATTTTTAAAAATCATTAGTAAATAAAAGTAGAAGCTTTACTAAACACTCTATAATATTTAACATTGCGATTAAAAAATGTTTTTTAAAATTTTTAATATTTTATTTTGAATTAATATTTTTTATATTTTTAAATTATTTTAAATTGTTGATGTTAAAATTAATTTTTAAAATAAAATAAAATTATTTTAATGTGTTTTAACATAAAAAATACTATAAAAAAACTATCATTATACTCTAAATACTTGCATTATTATTTTATATATTTTTATTAATATCTTGTTTAGCTCAACAATAGAATACTGCACATCAACCAAATATAGCACATTTTTTATAAAGGTAACAGAAAATTCAATAAATATGGAAAGAGATGTCTTTTAAGTAGATGATGTTCAACTCTTGAAACTTAAGATTGCATTATTTATCTATTTTACTTTATACTTTGGGAGGATGGAATGAAAATTTAGAAATTATGAAATATTAAAGTCTATCATGTAATACAACATATGTTTCATCTTTTAGGACCAAAATATAAGTTCAAGAAATAGAAACTAGAGGGATGATTTGGAATTAAGAATAGTTTAAAGACCAAATCAAAAGGTAATATCTAGTAAGGGGATCCAATATACCATTAACCCCACATCATCACCCGCATGTCTTTCTCCATAAAAATCCTGAAAACTACTGAAGGTTCTAACAGCAAACTCCTTCACCTGTTTTTCGGAGAGACCCAACGACAAGGGAAACTGATAAACAACAGCGCAAGAGGATCTTTGCTTATTCTTCTGTTTGACTCTCTGTCTGTTTCAATATTTCTCTCACTTGATCTCAGCCGTTTATCATTTAGAGAAAAGAAAGAGAAGAAAATAGAAAAGGGAAGTTCTTTTACTAGAACAGGTGGTTTTTCTATCCAACTTGGACTTCCACCTCACTCTTTTTTCTCCCTCTCTCTTCAAGCCATGAAACAAGGTGCCTCTCTCTCTCTCTCTCCAAATTTCATTCTTTTTCTGTGCGTGTACTAGCTTCTGTTTTTGTGTGGTTTGATTTATCATGTTATGGGATCTATGTAGTTCTATTGTATAGTATGTATTAGTGGGGTTTGTTTCCTTTCCTTTTTTGTGTACTATTTATGATAAAGTTTTGTTCTTTGAATTTGTTTTGTGTTTTGCTTATGTTTTAATGAACTGGGTCTTTTTTGTTTTCAGTTTTAAGATTGCTATTGTTAGGAACTAGCTAGTTCTGCTGTACTTTCTTTTATTGTACTTATTAAAGCTTTATTTTAGTTTGCACTTTGAATATTTATGCTTCGAGCTTGAAACTTTAGGCTATGTGTGTAATAGATAAGGGTATATTCTAGTCATTAGAGAACATTTTAGTGAGATTCACTATAAGTTCGGGCATGTTTGTGATGCTTGCTGCTGGTCTATTTAAAGAAACTTATCTATGATAGCTTTATTTAACTAAGATCAGAGTCGTAAAGATCTAATACTAACTAGGCTTGACAGAATGAGAAAATACAGGAAGCTATTGACAAATGGTTGAAATGGATTTTATGCATTTTGTTTATTTATAGCATGAGGGAAGATGACTCTTTGGATTTTAGTCATGTCAAGATAACAGTTAGGTCGTATGGGAGAGTGGGGATCATTCTGGATAGAAAAATGCTATTTTCCCCTAATAAGCCATCGTAATAGATTCACCTACAGAAACAAGTGACAAATGAAGTGGATGAATCATAAATAAGTGGCTGTTTGCTCATGTAATTTTGGGAGAGACTGTTGATTGATATATCAATTTTCTTTTATATATATTGAGAGAGTACAATAAATCTATGTGACCACAATGATGTGGAGGAGGATGTCCTTGAGAACATTGATGATTTACATTAATTTTAGCATATAATTAAAGGGTATAAATCAACGAGGGCTTTTGTAGGGGGTGTTTTTACAATTTAACCTGACTATAAGAAACTCCATTTTGGTGCTTGGCATTCTTGAAATTGGTGAAAGTTCAAATATTTCCCATATCTCCTTCAAAGATCATATAACGTGCTTTGGAGAGCTTATAATCTCCTGTCGTAAGTAATGTATGGAGGAGCTTAATGTAGTGTAATTTCCTTGGAAAGGTTTAATTGCTTTTTGGCCTAGTTTGATTGATGTAATGACTGATGCCTGTTTGATGAGCAAAAATGGCATCCAGTTTGATGTTGGTGAAGCTTAGAATAGCAGGGACACACCTGCAATATTGAAGTGAATGATTACTTTTTTTGGACACTTGAAGTGCTGCATTTTTTCTTACAAAGCACTCACTAATCTATTAAAAAATTGGGCATAATGTAAACTAATATTTCCAATAATGATGGTTCCTTTTTTGCCTGCTGATGGATCTTTAAATAATTCTTTACTGTTGTTTTGAATATCTTTTTTGAAGTATTGGACTTAAGCAACGGGATGTCGCTGGTGGATGGAGAGATAAATCATAAATGGTAATGTAGATTGAAAACTGATTGTTTACAGTTTGACTACAAGTGAAATAACCATGGCCAATAGGAATGGAGCTGGGTTGCTGTAGAATGTATATCGTAGTCCAGATTGTGTAGGGATTTATGAGATTACTATGAGACTCTATTGCATTATTCTGGGCTGTGAAGGTCATTTGTGAACATTGACATGGGTTGAATGGTCACTGTAGTGACCAAGAGGCATCGTTGATTTGAAAGGGAACTTCACCTACGAAGGCTTGTGGGCGTGTCCATGTATACATGGTTGGGAGTATATTAAATTTTTCTATATTTTTTAGTTCTCTCCATTTCTTCCTCAATGCTTGTTTTGCAGCATTGTCACCATCTTCATCCCATGTTCGAGGGTGAATCTTGTGAGCAGTAACTTTTTCCCCTCCAAAATGTCATGTGATGTGGAAAGTGATTGATAGCATGATTTTTTAATTGCAACGAGTGATGGCAATGTCTTCTTAACCCCAAGAGAGGTAGTGAGCTACCTATAAGCATTTTAGCTAAGGATGCATGGCTAGTTCCAATTGATTAGAGACTATTGCTATGCTTTTTGCACATTGGTGTCAATGCAGTGGTGGCTTTGGCTGTACGCCTGTTAATGTTTAACACAGTGATAATTGCTTCCATGTATGGTAATGAGAATTGATTTCATAATGATTGCATGTAATTCATGATATGTTTTGTAATCTAGTATGATGTTAGCAGGTGCTTTATAAATATTGCTCTGAATTCGATAGATCCAAACATAATTTGTTGAAGTTGGTGGTATTTACTGAATTGATCTAAATGGGGACAAGGGAAGAAAGCACACCTTCTAAGCCTTCCAAACCAGCATCTTCAAATCAGGTCTGTTTCTCTCTCATCCTCACAAACACAGATGCACACCCAAATGTACAGAGATTCACATGCTGACAAGCATACCAATCCCTCTTCATTGTGTGTACAGGAAATACCCGCAACGCCTTCATATCCTGATTGGTCAAATTCTATGCAGGTTTTGCTTATCAAATTCGTTTGTTGATTTTTATATCTGCTGTACTAACATTAAATGCTCATAACTTGGCTACTTTTTTAGGCTGATTATGGTGCTGGAGCTACCCCACCACCCTTTTTTGCCTCAACAGTTGCCTCACCAACACCTCATCCCTATATTTGGGGAAGCCAGGTGGATATCTCCTGTTGTTTGAGAAAAGCATCAGTTCCACTCATCTGACAGAGAAGTTACTTATTTTCTTTTCCGTTGACAATTTTCAGCATCCTTTAATCCCACCTTATGGAACCCCGGTTCCATACCCAGCTTTATATCCTGCGGGGGGAGTGTATGCCCATCCAAACATGGCCCCGGTAATAATGAGTATTTCTGATATAAGATTTTTTCTTGTGTTGATATTCCCTTTTACTACCATGGCCAAATGCCCTATCTTAGTATCCTATAATTCCTACCAGTTATTTGGTCATCATCTAATGTTTCATATTCATTATCTTCCTTGCAGACACCAAATTCAGCACCGGCAAATACAGAGTTGGAAGGAAAGGTCCCTGATGGAAAGGACCGTACTTCAGCTAAAAAAGCTAAGGGAACTTCAGGAGGAAAAGCTGGAGAGAGTGAAAAGGCTATTTCGGATTCAGGAAATGATGGTGCCTCCCAAAGGTCAGTTAAGCTCAAGTTTATTGCTAATTTTTCCTTTGGAAATGCATATACATTGAATTCTTGTGATATTGACCTTTAAGCTATCTGAACAGTGCTGAAAGTGATACAGATGGCTCATCTGATGCCAGTGATGAGAATACTAACCAGCAGGTGTATTTCTGTGCACTCCTATTATTTGCCTTCTGTGTGCTCTTATTGTTTAGTGCAAAAGACTACGATCTTGTTGAAGCATTTGTGACCTATCCCAGAAACAGGTTTTTCAGCTTGTTCATGCTGTAGAAATTCGGATGCCCTGAATATTTTTGGAATTGCAGTTTTCTATGTTAACCTGGCAAATGGAAAGTGTGATTTATATTCTATTTAATGAAAACCTGCCTAAATATTATAGGAAAATGCTGCAAACAAGAAAGGAAGCTTCAACCAGATGCTTGCAGATGGTGACATTTCTCTTCCTTGTCTCTATCTGTTCTTGTTTGTTTTCTGTAATAGAGCTTGCTAAACAAGTTGACTTTCTTCACAGCCAATGCACAAAGTACCTCAGCTAGATCAAATATCCAAACTTCTGTGCCTGGGAAGCCTGTGGTGTCTATGCCCGCAACTAATCTAAACATTGGGATGGACTTATGGAATGCATCTCCAGCTGCTTCTGGAGCTACAAAAATGAGACCAAATCCATCTGGTGCCTCATCCGGTGTTGTTCCTGCTGGAATGCCTGAACAGTGGATTCAAGTATGAACCCTGCAGTTATTTGTTGCATCATTCTTGAGCATTTGTTTAAAACCATATATTAAAATTCAGTTTTTAACTATCAAATTAATTCTGCTGTTATGGTCTAATCAAAGGTTTGACTTTTCAGCAGTTTGTTTTTCATTTTTTCATGTTTGTATTTTCCTTAACTTCAAGTATTTCAAATTTTGTGAAAATTTCGTATACCTCAGAAGAAACAGGTCAATTTGTTTTTGAGAATGATGAAGGATATTGTTTATGGGAGACATTTCTGTTTGTTAATGCAGCTGTTAGGCTATCTGGATTCCTTTTCCTTCCACTGAATTATAGATTTGGGTTCTGACAGGATGAACGTGAATTGAAAAGACAGAAGAGGAAACAATCAAATAGAGAGTCAGCCAGAAGGTCAAGGTTACGTAAACAGGTACTGCTGTAGTTTGCACCTTTTCTTGTCTTCGAATGTTTGCTTATTTCTTCACCATTGTTAGTTCCAAAACCAGATGCTCATCTCCCACTTCTTATTTTACGACTGTGATAGGTGGAGTGGTAAAACAGGTTATTTAAAATGTTCTTTACCAAACTTGTATTTTTCTAGCGAAGGATGATTCTCTAATCCTCAACAGCCTTAAGTAGTACACTTCTCATGTCCCCAAATAATTTCACTACTTGTCGCTGGCCTTAAAAAAAAGAGTTTTAACAACTTCAACTGTTTCAGAACTTTGGTACACTGTCTGAAAGCTCTAACCTGACCCCATGATCCTTAAGATCATCACCTTGCCTTCTGAAGTTCAAGGTCAATTTAGAGCTTGCTTGTCATCTTTCTTTTAAATAAAAGGAAAGCTTCTTTGGGTTGTTCAACATACTCTTGCTTTTCATATCGGTGATGAGGATGATTCTGATGGGAACATTTGCTGTGGAATTTTATCTTAAGGTTTGCTGCTGTTAATCTCCTATTAAAAGCTTATATCTATTGCTTTGACTATTCATCTTAACCAGGCAGAGTGTGAAGAGCTACAAGTCAGGGTAGAGAATTTGAGCAATGACAATTGCAATCTTAGAGATGAATTGCAGAGCCTCTCCGAAGAATGCAACAAGCTGAAATCCGAAAATGATTTCATTAAGGTTTATTTTAGTCCCTGGCCTTTTTATTTGAAACTCCATTCTTCGTGTTCATTAAAGTTTGATCGTTCTTCTTGCCAAAAGTTGATCATTACATGACATCACTCATTTAACAAATGCGGGTTTGCTGTCATAACAGGAGGAGTTGACTCGGTTGTATGGACCAGAAGCAGTAGCTAACCTTGAACAAACCAACCCCATTTCAGATCCAAAGTCTCACGGTGGTGAGGGAGATAGTTAACAGTAAAGACTGAGGCATGAATTGGCATCCGGAAGAGTACTTTCTCGAACTCCTCCCGGATATCATGATTACCATTAGTCGAGTAGAGAACCTTTGGTTTTAATGACTGATCCATACCCTTAACCCTTCAGCTGTAACGGCAAAATTTGCTTATAAAATCTTAACTGGAGCTAGAAACCTCAATGATTCCATGCGCGTTATTGTATTATTAATTTAATCAACTTCGTTGGCTGAAAAGGAACCTTTCTCCCATTTCTTGAGAGGGACTCTCTAACGTTAGCTTATAATTCTGGCAAATATAATCAGGAGCATTGATGTTTGATTAATCTGTTAGGAATCTGGAATTTGTCATACTATTGGACATCAGTTTTCCGTGCAAACAAGTCTTTAACAACCCGATAATGAAGCATGTTAGAAATTTGTTTAAAAAGACATGGTCAATTGTTTATATTTGAGGTCAAAACAAAAGCGGGGTTATTTATTTTTAGGGTTAAAGCGTTATAAAAGATTGATTTTCAATAAAAATATTTTAATATCAAGTATTAACATGTTTAAAATATGAGGGAGAATGTAAAATTAATTTTAAATATTTAGTTGTCATGTTTTTACGAAATTAAAAACTTTTTTATATAAAAAAAGTCAAAATAAACTTATAAATTATCAAAAGTTTTAAAAGGAAGATTTGTGCAAAGTAAACTTTGAATTTAAACTACATGCGATTGAGGCCCATGCCATAGGAGCTTCGGGTAAGCTTTAGATTTAAACTACATGCGATTAAGGCCAAGCCATAGGAGCTTTGGGTTTGCTATAAATAATTTTTGGATTATAAAAAAATATTTCTTCCTGGTTTATTTTGAACTTTGATTTAGATTTGTTGTGAAATAATTCTTTCACAACCGAAAATTTTATTTTACAAACGAATAATTTTAAATGAAAAATCCGTCAGGTTTTTTCCTTGTTTATGGTGTGCAATGGAAGTAAAATTATAAGAATTAATTCTAGTAATTGCATCAATTTTGATTAAAAATTTGGTATAAAACGGGGTCAAAGGTGAGATGTTCTGTAGTAGTTTATTTTCCTTCTTTATAGTTTTTCAACTTATTTTTCCTCTCCTTCTGCTTTGTCTTTTACCCCTCTTTTCTTTTATTCTAAACCTTAAGGTTCTTATCCTTTTTGGATAAATTTTGAGTTTATTATCCCTTTGATTCATATACTTTCAAAGAAAATGCATCTTTTAAAGTTTGGTTGGTGGAATCATGTAAACTATTGGCAAAAAAAAAAAAAAACATTTGCACTGATTGAAAATCATGTAAACTATTGGCAAAAAAAAAACATTTGCACTGATTGGCAAACATTTTAGTTTAAGAACAAATAGTTCAATTCTTGATAATAATATTATATTCTGTTTATTGATTTATCTTTAATATCTAATATTTATACTTTTAGTTTAATATTTGCTTTTGTACATGGTGGTATGCATGTTAGGATTTTTTTTTTATTCAAATACAACTTTAAATATTATATTATTTGCCTAGTTTGTATATTAGAATTTTGTTTTAACTCTTTTGCAAATTTATGATCTGTTACCTTGTTATAAAATTGCATGCAATCTTCCTAAATAATAGCTACCACTAAAATATTGCCAATAATCTTAAGATTAAAATTGTTTCTTCATTTGCTTAATTATTTTATCATTAAGAATAGTACAGTCTTTTCCTTCTCCCGTGCACTCACTTTAGAAAAGATTGATATAAAATATGTGAAGTACTTAGTCTGCTGCTGCGATAGGATTCATACTGATATAAAGGAATGACTTGGGCTTTGTTTCTCTTTGATCATGTGATTTAGGCCATTACAGGTATGGAATTCTTCGGTGGCTGTTACCTAAAAAGGGGATAGAAACTTGCCGTCTCTTAAAAAAATTCTCATTAAAAAAAAAATACAAAAATTATGTTATATTTGATATGCATATTGTAAAGTCTCTTAAAAAATTAAAATCATATTTTTAGCTTAATATATATATATATATATATATATATATATATATATATGGTATGATATAGCATTTTTTTTATTTACACAAAATTCCTAAAAAAAATCTTTGCCTATAATTTTTTGAATTTTTGAGAATTAATGGTCAACATTTTGAAATGAATATTAGACCTACAAGTAGACTGATATTTAAATCAGTAGTTAATTAGAAAATTCTCAAAATTATTTTGGATATTTATCAATTTTAATTGGGAGTATTTTTCAAAATAATATACGAATTGTGAAAAACCCTTTTACTTTCTAGAATAGATGAACCTTGTCAGAGTACCTACATAAATTGTTTTCCACAAGAATTTATTTGAGTATACAAATCCATGATAAATTCAAAATACTATATTTATTCATGAGTGTATCTTTGTTTGAAGCCATAGACGAACCATTTGTTAAGAACCCATCAATACCTTTAAGCTATATCTATATCATACAATGTAGCTTACCTTAAGTAAGATGTGTCAAGAGTGTTAATGTCTTTCATAGTCATAACTAATCACTTACCTTAAAATTTTATATAATAATAGTCCATCTGATTTTCTTTATGATCCTGAACTAAACAATTAAGTGATGATTCTTTAATTCTGATATCTTGTCACGCCGCGTGTGCATGTGCAACAATTATAAAGATAGATTCTAGTGCATAGAAGGGGGGTTTAAAAAAAAACTAAGCAATTTTCTCTAACTAAGCTGCCACTCTCAGAAAAAAAAATATATGACACTATCAAATGTCTTCTTTTACGATTGACAATCTTTACTCTTTTCTCTTAACAACACACCAATACACATACTATTTAAAAATAAAAACAAAATAGAACATTTAGTATCTCTCGTCATTCATTCAAGGTTGGCCACAATCTTTCTTTCTTTCTTTTTTTATTTACAGGCCACAATCTTTCTTTCTTTCTTTTTTTTTTATTTATAAAAGCCCAAACTCAACTCATCTTTAAAGGGAGGGAGAGTCATTCGAGAACTAGAAAAAACCGATAAAAATTCTATCTTCACCTCTACTAGAATGAGCCACCAACATTGATCTAAAATTTTGATTTTTTTTTTGAAAACTAGCATAGTTTCAAAAAAGTTAAGAGGAAATTACACATTTTTAAAATGTTTTATGAAAATTACATAGTTTCTATATAACTACTATTCTGAATCATAGTTGTTAAAGAACCGTTATTAAAAAAAATAGTTTTAAAAAAATCTCTATTCTGAATCATAATTTCATAAGAAAACCATAATTCTGAATTGCAATTATGATGTATAAACACAACTATTTTTCTTCGTGGCCACAGCCCCTAAGCGAGAAAAAAAAAACCCTATAACTCAAAAAAAACCTCCCAAAAAAAAACAACCTCCAAATCACCCAAAACACTGTCCAATCCCCCCATCAAAACACCAAAATCATCTTTCCTAATTCTCCATAAGTATTTCTATCATTTTCTTGTTGCAAACCGCGGTTGCCATCGGTCATCTACACATCATAAAAGCAAGATAAAACATTTGCATTATTTGTTAGTTTGATGAGTTTATTTATTGAATTAATAAATTTTATATTTTGATTTAATTTGGTATTTGTATTGTGTTTTAAGCTTGTGTTCTTTAACTAAAATCGTGTTTGGCAAACACACCCTAACATATTTTTCATGCCTTTAATTTATGTTTTTTTTGTTTTACTGTTTTGCCAAAAAGACCCTAGTTTAATTTTAATTATTTTTTACATTTATAAAGAAAAATCTTGCAATTAATTATGGGTATTTTATATCATTTTACCCTTTTTATTTAATATTTTGAATTTTGAACTTATACATAAGATTTCTTTTTTGGATGTTAAATAAACTAGTTTTTTTGTTTAAAAAATATTAAAAAAATCCTTCTTTAGAAAAAAAATAAATTTATGTTTTAAATTGCATATGAACAAGTTTATTCAAAAATAAAATCAAGTTTGCATTTCAAACAAAAAAAATATTTGAGAAAATGCATGATTTAGCATGCCAAAAAAATAAAAAAATAGTTTTATATTTTGCGTTCATCATGGATTTAATAACAAATTTATTAAAGCTATTGGGATAAGGTCTAAGTTTTAAAAATTTCAAAAAAATTATTTTTTAATTTTTAATATAAAAAATAATAAACTTATACGTAAGATGTATTCTAAAAAATAAAATAAACAAATGTAAAATAATATGTTTTGATTTTAGAATGGCTAGGCTTGACCTATAAAGTCATGATCCATCTTGGTAGGGTTAAGCCATGATCCATCTTAGTGGGGTGGACTTGCTTTAATCAATAGACAAATTAATAGTTAAAAAATCACCACAAAACCTAAGTAATAATCAGACAAATAAGCAATGCAACATATTTTATATAGGGTGTACTACGGTTGATATTATCCTCCCTTTATATGATTGATCCTCTTATCTAGGTTCTAAAGACCAATTAAAATTCATAGTAACTACAATACTAGATGATGAGTTTAAACTTTTTTAAACCATAAAAAGACAAGAACTCATTATTCTTTCTCTACACCACCAAAGTTTTAATCTAGAAGTATGATTATCACGACGACACACACGTGTGACAATTGACATGGAGAAGTCTCTAGGGATGAATTGCCAAAGTAGTCACGTTAAGTGCCAAAGAAAAACCCACACACCCACTTGAATTTTATAAAGTTACTTGTAGTTTCAACCTTGAAACAGGAAGCCCTTATGCCCTTTTACATACCACATTAAAATGACTTAGGACTCAACTTAGTTTACACATACAATTCAGTGATGGATTTGCTTTTCAAAGATAGTGCTGAAGAACCTTCAAAAGTTTGCTGGCAACTTGAATCAATAGTCTCGTTGCTTTTAGAAGCAACAATAATGCTCATATTCTTTCTAATTTTAATTAAAAGGTTGTTGAAAAAAATGTCTTAAAAGAAAGAGATGAAAGACAAAGATATTCCTAGTAGAGTCGTTAGAAATTTATAGATAATTTTGAATACTTGAAAATTAAGCAAGAAAACATGTACAAATATTTGATTTTACTCAAATATATGAATGGTTACAATATCTATTTAAAATATTCTTACAAAAGAATAAAATAATCCTCTGATTCTTTTGTTAAATTTTATTTATGATGACTTGTATTATTTGTGAAATTGAGTCAATATTTGTGCTTTGTAAGAACACGAATGTAGACGAGTATTGTAGAGCGAGATTTGGTGATTTGATATTTTAAATAATACATTTAATTCGTATTTAAAGTATTGTTGAAGAACTCTTATAGGGCATTTTAGCTTAATCCAATAAATTTTTATTATTTGTAATCTTTAAATATAAATAAAGAAAACTTAAGAACTTTTAAGAGAGCTTACTTGCTTGAAGAGTTTCTATGAAATAAAATTTTATATCACAAATAAGAGTCCCCCGTTCTGTTTAGAGTAAAGTCCTTTATTTATTGAGATTTGTAGGGTCTCTCAAATTCTTTTTTAATGGCACATGTCAATGTAGGGTCTCTCAAATTCTTTTTTAATGACACATGTCATTATTTTATTTGTTAATTTTTATTTGTGGGATTTTATATTTATAACAAGATATTTTTAAATATATGATGTCATGTGTCAATTTTTTATTGACAATATATATATATATATATACATATTACTACCAATTTATTTTTCATGTTATTTATTTTTATTTTGTTTTATTTTATTATATAAAAATAAATTAAAACATGACCGGTAGATTTTTTTTTTCCGTTTGTACAGTGCCATTTGATCGTAGTGGATGGCTTTTCGTTGGTATTTATACAAGTACCGCTGTCTTTTTGGTTTAGTCAGCTATCGAGGCCTGGAGATTTTCTGCTGCATATTGCTCAGACACTAGCAGCTTTGGATTGCACAATTCCGTAAGGTATTCTGGGCCATGGAGAACTTGTCTGTCTCCACATTCTAATTATCTTTCCTAGTTTTCTCGCTGCATTTTACTTGCTGCTGTGCTTTCTCTTTCAGATCAGTTTCCTGCAAGAATTTCGATAATGCATAATTTGATTACGTGTTTGAAAGTGTGATTAGATTAAGTTTCCTGTCATTAATTTATAGCTACTTGGAAGGATTGCAAAAACATTAAAATAATTTGGACAGTAACTTTATATTTTACATCGAAATAATCATGACAGTATGCATGCAAAAAAGAAAAAATCTCGGGAAGAGGATGGCAGATTATGGTTCCCTAATTAGGGTTATTATCCTTCTTAATTTATATTTCCCCAAATCTTTTGATAACAGGCAAAAGTTCTGTGCAGGTTACACGAAAGAGAGACATAGAGTGACAACAGATGCTCAGCCCCCTTTCTTTCTTTCTAGCAAGACACCAACTGATAACTGCCGAATGTAAAAAGGTAATTAGATTCGTCATTACATCCCAAAAACAACCTAATTAACTTCTAAGATAACAAGATATCATTTTGCTTCCAAGCGGATGTAGCAATAAGTGGCCTATCATGCCAGCAAAGAACCAACTCAGCCTGCCGTTTTGCCACATAGAAACCTCTCACTTGCACCTTTCTCAGCAAACACTCAGCTTGAAAATCAGCAAACTGACTCAACTGCACCGGCCTCATTCCTGCCCCAGCAAATACCTCCCTCCATGGAGACAACATTCGCCCTCCGCACCCCTCAACTGCCGCCAAAATCTTCGGTTTCAGCAGGCACATCTCAATTTTCCTCGCCCAATCGTCACCAGCTGTAATCACGGCCGCATCCAGGGACTCAAACATCATTGAATAAAATTCAAGACAATTGACGAAGTTCCTCCTGAATGACAATCTAGCTCCAGATTCTGTCCACCCTTCACTGTCCACAAATATGACCACACTTGGCGAAACGCGGCGGAAATCATTAACAAACATAGTAACCTTATTTGTTGAACCAAGATGGCGAAATATTGTTGGGGATAAGAGAACAGCAATTTTCTCTCCTTCAACAAACTTGATTGCTTTGAAAGACAACATTTCAAAGGTAGGGAAAAGCACAAACTCGACATGGAATCTGATCTTGAGTTCATAGGCGAATTGTGAGAGTCTTTCTTTGATCAATTTGGTCTCGGTCACAGTATCTTCTGTTACAACCGCAGTGATTCGAAGAAGCGGAGTTGTGATCTTATTGCATGAGTCTGCTTTGTCTACAAGTTCTCTCATCAAAGAAGCATAGTGGCAACCAAATCCAATATCAAAATCTATGACATGAAGAAACACTGAATTTCCATTAAGGGAATCAAGAATAGCTTGGTTGGTGGTGAAGTCAGTGAACATGGGGATTGGAGAGATGCTAAAGAAGTCCTTGTAAGCCTTAATAGTTTGGACAGTATTGGACCATGAAGGGAATACAGGATTAGTTTGTGGCCGTGTTGATCCACTTGTAAGGAGACACTGGAGAGCTTCTTTGAAGAAAAAAGCGGCTCTTTGGAGAGGTTTACCGTTTGGTGATTGAAGGCGATGACTGAGCCGTTCCAATATCACTTGCGCAAGTTGTAGCTCGTTTGAGTCAAAACAGTCTGCTGCTTTGATAAGCTCTCGAATGAAATCAGAACCAGCATTCCAATTTCCAATATTGTTATGAAAACTATGCGACAAATCAAGAGAAGTCAAATTGTGAGTTGTGATAGAATTAATGTACATATCATTAAACTCAGAGTTAAGAAACTGAGTAGCGTCAATCTGTTGAGATGCAGTGAACTCAGGAAGGTTATGACTATGGATTTGAGGCTCACTGCAAGGACCGAATTGTGGAAAATTATTGATGAGAGCAGGAGCAGAATCATCATGGAAGTCCAACTCTCTCATAATAGAATCCCAATCCAAAGTTTGCAAGACATGATCTTCCCACCCGATAGGATCGGTTACAGAGGCCGGTTTGCCAGCTCGTGCAGGACTTGGACTTCTACGCAAGTCAAGAACCGAAGTGGGTTCGTAGCACGAGTTTCGATTGTTGGGGTTAAAGCTGATGTTCCTGCTGTTGTTGTTGGTGTTGTTGCAAGAAACTGGTTTCGGGTTTTGAGACTGGTTGTTGCTGCTGCTGCTGTTTTGTGGTGAGGGAGCTGGAACTTTCATAGCTAAGAGCACGAAGGTATGTAGCCCCTCTGTGTTTGAAACCCTCTTTAATTTGTTTCGAGTACTTTAGAAAGAGGGAAATGGCAAGGGAGAGGGGGCTTTTGGTGGTTATGATGACTGGCTTTTTATCTTTGCTTGTATGCATGGGGGGGTATGGGATGAGAAGGCATGGTTATCCATGAGAGACATGTGCGGCCATGGCATGCTAGACTCGAGACCAATCCTTTTTTATCTCTTTGAAGCTTGTAACTCAAGTCACTACTTTGCCTTTAGCCTTTTCCAGGATTCGCAGTTTATTTACCCAGCTCAGCCGTTCTGGTATTGTTCTTGCAGTCGTTTTGATAGTTTTAGCCCTACATAGTTATGGTCAAAGCCATCTTGCATAGTTCAATTATTTTTGTTATGTTAAATGATGTGGAGCTTATAATTAACTAAGTTTCTACTCCAATAAATGATATGGAAAAAATATATTAATTCAGTTGCAAACACTAATTGTGAATTGATTTCTTTGTTTGTATTTGTAGAACTAAGGCATGGTTAAAAAAAAATTGTCGAGTTGCCACTTGCAAACGGGTTCCCTATCTCAATAGCATAATTTTGTCTTCAATACTTTTACTTTCAGTTTCTTTCTTGTGATCTGCCTAGCTAGTGAAAGCATAGCAGTGATAAGTAAATCAGTTAGATGGCTATTTTGACTACAGTCACTTTCTCCAGCTCCATGATACAAGACTTCAAATTTGGAGCTTCATGCATGTCCAGAAAGGGAAAGAGAAATAATGCCTACTACAGCATAGGAGATTGAATATAGAGCATCTTGCAAGTTTTTTGTCTCAAAAAATTCAAGTTTTACTGGGTGCAAACAAAGTCTTAACAATGCCTCCTTTGTAGACATAAAGTTTAAAGACATGAACAGTTCAGGATCTACTTTAGACTTTGAAATGGATTGAAATCCTTTTCATCCAAAAACTTCAAACTGGATCTCTAGAAAAACACTACTTCCTAGCTTCCTAAATAAATCGAGGGGAATGGAGAAAAGAGGGAAAAGAAAACAAAGCAAAACCCTTTTTTAATCCTCGTGTTTGAGTCAATTATCTAATTTTATCCCCTTGTTGAAAGATTTATTCAATTTATATCTTTTGCTGTTTAATTCTATCCAATTTACACTTACAGTAACCTTTGTTAGATTATACTAGTTATTTCATCATTGACGCTTCTATGCGGATCAATTTTTTTTTTTCTATAAAAAATATTATATATTTTGATTTTTTTCAAAATGTTTTTATACATAAAAATGTTATGTAAATTTAAAAAATCATGCATGCATGTAATAAAAAAAATCAAAAACTATATGTATTAATAAATAGGGAAAAAGTCATTGCAACAACTAAAAATAAAATTAAAACAATCAGGAGATAAAAAATAAATTGATTGAATAAAAGAAAAGAAAAAACATTATATAAGGTTGTACATACTAATAATATTATCTGAAAATAAAAATTCATCTATATAAAAGATTAAAAATATTGATGGATGAATAAGAATAATCTTTTTAAAAACTAAATATATACAATACCATTAAAAAAAATCTCTATCCAAAAACAGTGAAATTAGAAAAAGAACAAATCATAAAGGAGGGATGTTAATTGAAACATAAATTTTAAAAAAATATTTAAGAAAAAATACATTAAAAAAATATCAATTAAAAATAAAATATTAGAAAAAAATAGCCTGGATGTTGTGGTTTAACTCGACAAACTTATGCTTTAAGTCATGAACCTGACTAATTTTAATATATTTTTTTTAAATTTATATTTAACATAAAACCAAAATAAAAGCACAGGATCTTGAGTCCATAGTCCAACACACCTAATCCATTTCAAGGGAAAGCCTAGGCACGTGGGTGGGCCTTCAAGCTTAGACCAGTAAGCATGAGCTTGGTTATATATATAATAAAGGGGCAGACATCTTAAATTTATATTTAACATTAAACAAAAAAAAACACAGGATCTTAAACCCAACACACCGAATCCATTGCAAGATACATTAAAAAAATATCAATTAAAAATACAATATTAGAAAAAAATAGCCTTGATGTTGTGGCTTAACTCGACAAACTTATGCTTTAGGTCATGAACCCAACTAATTTTAATATATATTTTTTAAATTTATATTTAACATAAAACCAAAATAAAAGCACAGGATCTTGAGTCCATAGTCCAACACACCTAATCCATTTCAAGGGAAAGCCTAGGCACGTGGGTGGGCCTTCAAGCTTAGACCAGTAAGCATGAGCTTGGTTATATATATAATAAAGGGGCAGACATCTTAAATTTATATTTAACATTAAACAAAAAAAACACAGGATCTTAAGCCCAACACATCAAATCCATTGCAAGGAAAGGCCTAGGCACGTGGGTGGGCTTTCAAGCTTAGACTCGTGAGCATGAGCTTGCCTATATATATAATAAGGGGGCAGACACCTTTATTTTTTTGAAAAAAAAATACACAAGTGACATGCATTCACGAGCCTAGATTCTGGTCACCCAATGATGGTTGAAAAATCAAGGCAATACCTCTTTTGCCTATAAAACCTAATTTTAAGTCATTTCAACTCAAAAACATATCACGAACACCCTCAAAACACCTGTAAATCGATAGATCAACTCAAAATACCTAAAAAAATGGTTCAAAAACATGAAATCAAATCAGGTTAGATTTATCTTTCTCAGTTTAGATATATTTTTTCAAGCAATATTTAGGTTCTATGGTTCAAAAACATGAAATCAAATCAGGTTAGATTTATCTTTCTCAGTTTAGATATATTTTTTCAAGCAATATTGAGGTTCTAAACAACCACCACTAAATTCATTTTATCTCATTGAACTTGTGAACACTAAAAAAATCTATTTTGGTAGTTAGAAATGGCTTCAATAGTGACCTTCTCTTTTAGTGTTAGAATCTAGCGACCCCTCTCTCTTTTCTCTCTCTAACCAGAAACTAAAAAATACTATAAATAAATTTTTGTACCAAATTAAACTATTTTTTTTTGAATTCTAAAGGGACTTAAATTATCTAATTTGTGTTATTTTTAAAGTTTGAAGACCTAAGTGTACTTTTTTAAAAAACAATTTGGCATGCCTTTTTCATTTCAGTCCCTCTCATTTCAATTCCATCGTTGCCTAAAAAATCAAAAGCAAGTGGTCTTTAAATATGATTAAATCATTCGAAATAAAACTTTAAGAATCAAAATGAATTATTAAAAATACAAATTATGTCTACTATGTTTTGTAAGTGTATAAATAATGTCGGTTCGACTACTAGATTTTTTAGATTTACCAACTACTAGAAACCCGCCAAATATAATATTACTAACAACTTTCTTGTCAAAAAAATTAAAAATTAATATTTTTTTTTATCGGTATCTCTGTATGTAAAGTCTAATTGAAAATTTTAATTTATTCAAAAAAATTAGAAATATATCAAGTATTACTAATGTCTTTACCGTTGGAAAATTAAAAATTAATATTTTTATTTTTTCGTTAGCGTTTCCATAATTATAATTGAAATTTTTAATTTAATAAAAATTTTCAAAAACCTGTCACCTATTATTGTCGATGATACAATATGTATAGAACAATGCAATTGAGAGAGGAACATTCCAATGCTCTTTGGCATATACTAACAGATTTAATTCGTCAGTGATACCCTCTATATTGAACACTATAAAAAATACAATTAAGAGGGGAATAATTTTAATACTCTCTGAAATATATCAACAGACTTAATCCATCAATGATATCTCTATATTGAACATAATGAACAGTGCAAATGAGAGGAGAAAAACTTTAGTGCTCTATAGAATATATTGACAACCTTAAGTTGTTAGTGTATCTATTTGTATTTTGCATCTCATCGGTATTTTTATCGGTGTGCAACAATGTTTATTGCCATAATGTATTTGTATTCTTTATTTATTCATCCTATAAATATTTAAAATCACAACACACACAACACAATAACACCAATTTTATATAGAATATTAAAATCATCTTCATCGTAATATTCTACGTTGATTTCATCACTATTATCATTTTTGTTTCTACGTTGATTTCATCACTATTATCATCTTTGTTGACTTTTATATGTCTGTTAGTTCTCAAAACATCATTTAACTCACCAACGTCTATATCAACCAAAGTATTATCGGCGACGTGAAAATTTGAATTTTCTTCCAAGTCATTAGATGGAACAACTTGATATAGATCAACTAACTCATTAAGTTGAAAGATATCATTTCTCAATATTATTCATCATTTCCCTTACGAACAACCTGGATACAACCACTAAGTTTGGTTTTCACTACAAATAACCAATCAAATATTGAACGAGCCTTTTTAAGGAAAGAATGTACGTGTAATAAGCTTGCTGGCATTGTTTTAAAAAAAAACAAACATCATCGAAATTAAGGAGTTTAGCCTTTGTATTAATTTTACCAAACCATAAAAGGGATCTAAATTGATTCCTCTATCAATGGTGTCATACAAATAGCATTTGAATAAATAAAAAATCTATTTTATTCACTATGATATTGCAATTTAATGACCTCTTCTAACTTCTTATAATAGTTAACTTAAAACTCATTAGAAGTCGATCCCTTAACACAAACCCTACTATTATATATCTTTCTACCCTGACTATAATCTTCTATATAAAACACATGTCCATTTATAAAATACCTGTTATAGCACTTCACCTTTCTTTCAGGACCTAGACTTAGTAAATTCAAAGTAAATCTAGCATTTTTTTTTAATTGATAAAGATGTTACGTGAATTACATCTCTATCATAGTTAACAAGAATATGTAATGAAATTAATTATCCCTAGTGATAAAAATAATTAAACAATTCTAATATGTGTTTTCAACCACATAGAAAATTATTCATTTTGTAATCAAAAGATTTGAGATTCAATTAACTGTGAGTTTTTGGATAGTAAAAATTGACAATGTTTCCTACGAGAAATTCAATAATCTATTAGTTTATGATAATATAAGAGAAAGATTTTTTAAAGTAATAACATATGTAGTATTATACTTACTGAATAAAAGATCTCAATTCATCGTAATTAAATAACACATAATTATATGCTTG